ACAGAGAAGGCCCTCCTCCGCGTAGTCGCCAGTCGACACTGACCGGCAGATGGAATTCGGAGGAGGCCTAATCTGTGGGATCTAATCGGTCTGGTGGAGGTGATTGGCAGCAGGCGGTCTCTCAAGTACCCAGGTCAAACCCAAAATCAGCTTCATTCCCTCCCTCCTCCCCATTTGAATGTATCTTTAAGCCAAATTTAGAAAGATGAGAAGTCATCTTACCTGACTAGCAAGTTCCCGCGTGGGCGAGAGCACAAGAGCTCTGAAACCTTTGTTCATGGGCTGCTTCAGGTGGGTTAAAATGGGAATGCTGAATGCCAACGTCTTCCCTGAGCCAGTGGGAGCACAAGCCAGGAGCTCACGACCCTGGGATGCAAAAGGAAAGCAACAAGGCTCAGCTGAACGCAGAGTATATAAACGGTGCTCGAAAAGGGGCAAAGGAGGGGGGCCATAGCAGGCGGGTGAATGCCAGCTATAGGCTGGCATTTCTAATATCTTGAGGGCACTAAGCACTTGCAATAATTAAGCCAATCAATCTGACATCAGCCCCCCCCCATCAATCCTTCCACTAGAAAGGCAACAGTGAGATGTTTATTATAGTTACGTTTGCTCATAGGCAGCTACTGCACTGTACAGCTAACTCTTTTGACTTTATTTATTTTCTTTATTTAGTCAAACATGTACAAGTTAACAGTTGTAAGTATAAACACAGGAAATGGGTACGAATAAATGGGGACAGTAGGACAGGGATGTTAGGAACGCTAGTGCACTTATGCACGCCCCCTACAGACCTCTTAGGAAAGGGGTGAGGTCCACACTAGACAGTTTAGGGGTAAAGTTACGGGAGTTTAAGGATGTAACAACAGAGTTGAGTAGTGCATTCCAGGCATTGCCCGCTCTGTTGCTGAAATCCCCCTGCACATGCTTCCCCCACATGTATGCACGTCCTCCTGCCCACACCCTGCCCCCCCCCCCCCCGCATATGTGCACGGCTTCCCCAGATAGGCCCCGGTTCCCCTGCGTGCCCCACAAGGCCCTGCGCCCATGCAGGTGCCCCCCTGCATGCACCCTGAACCCGCACACGCATGCCAGAGACTGGCGGAGCTGAACTGGGGCAACAGCTCGCGTGCCCACTGATTGAGCGCTGCACGCCATCTGTGGCACGCGTGCCATAGGTTTGCCATCACGGGCCTAAAACATATCATGGCAACAGTATCCCCATTTTCTCTCAGAGGGAATTTGAAGGGAGACACACATGAAGCATGACGGGAATAGCTTGCATCTGAATTGGTGTGGGACTCTGGAATCCAGCAGCTTCAACATTTTGCATAATCTTAGAGTGGATTTTATATTCTCTCCCAAGTTCTTCAAAGGAAGTAATTGGGTCTGGAAGATCCGTGCCTTGAATGTAGATTTTATGCATATTTCTAAAATGGTTTATCTGGGAAAAGGCAAGAGAAAGATTAAATTTTATTTACATGTAATTTTCATAGTAAATATCAATAACTTAGATGAAAACTTCATCTCCGTTTCAACTGAACGCCTCATTATTATCTTGAAAAAATATATTATTTTGAAAAAATAGCATTTATCCTCGTTCAGTGACCATTTATTTTTAGAGAACACGCCAAAAGAGAAGCAACTCACCTTTTCTTGTCTAATTTGTTTTAATTTCTGTGATTTGGGTCCCTTTTTACCCTTGCTTTTTGGAATGTCAAGTTTTGCCTCCAGAGTGGACATCCATAATATGCCATCATTTTCAGTACCAGGAATTACAGCAACTGTTTCTGAAAGTTACAAGAACATCATCAAACAAGTGCTTCTCAACCTATAGTCTGCGGACTAATGGGGGGGCCACAATGTTGTCACAGGGGGTCCGTGAAGGCTTGCAGAAATGTTGATTTAAATCTTAAATCTTGGGGGGGGAGGAGCACAGCCACAAAAGGAATTCAAAGGGGGTCGGTGGTGAAAAAAAAGGTTGAGAACTACTGAGCTAAACCTCTAATAAGAATAAAACTAATCTGTTGCAATGGCCACTATTTAAGATATTTTGTATCAGACTTTGCAACCTGGTCTTCTTTAAGGACAGTATTTTTCGGACTATAAGGCGCACTTTGTCCACCGGCCCTGAAAGTGGGTGGAAATGTCTGTGCATCTTATAGAGTGAATATTGCAACGAGGGAGAATGGGGTTGATGGGTGCCGATCAGCTGTTCTGGCGGCGAGTGGGCTATAGGAAATGGGCTGCGGCAGCAGTGAATGGGCCACGGTAAACAGGCCTTGGCGAATTGGCAGCGGCATTGAAGAGGCTGGGGTGAAAGTGAACGGGCTGCGGCCAATGGGTGGTGGCAGTGAATCGGCTGCGATGGCTGGTTTTTTTTTCTTCTTTTCCTCCTCTGAAGCTAATGTGTGTCTTATAGTCCGAAAAATACGGTACATTGCACCACAACACGTTGCTTCAAAATTAATGGGAACTGAATTTCATTTTATGCGCATTGTACATTTTATAGGCTCCAATCTGAGTCAGTCACCAGGACCAGAGGTTTACTGTACTTTTTGCACTCGTGCTGGAGCCCACCCTCAGAGAACTTCTCTCTGGCAGTGTGTGTGTGCTCTGGGCTATTCTTTGTGTGTTCTTAATACAGTGTCTGTTGTGTGTGGCTTTTTAGATGTTGATTGAGGTGTTGATGGCTGACTATTAAGTTGTTGACTGTTGTTTCCTTTTGATGCCAAGTCCTCGACTCCTAAATATTTGATATGCCATAGACCAGTGGTCTCCAACCTTGGCAACTTTAAGACCTGTGGACTTCAACTCCCAGAATTCCCCAGCCAGCATTTGCTGGCTGGGGAATTCT